TGAACATTTAAATCGTCTACTCATTATTAAATTAAACATTAACATCAATTTTTTTAATTTTTTATTTCATTTATAAACACGGTTTTTCTTAATTTTTCTACTAATTAAAAACTCTATGTAATAAATTCTGCATTGTCAATTTAAATTTTAAATTAATTATCATCAATTAACTGTTCTTTCCTGTATTATCTACCACCTTGTCATTTTAAACACCTTTAATTACATAAGCTTAATAACTACGCCCAACTCTTAGTGGTTGTCATTTATCGTACTTTCTCTTTTATTGTTAACAATATGTTTTTGTAAATTTAGATAAGGGAATACGCTTTTTAATTAAAGATGTATCTACATAATTGGTAACATATTGCATGACGTATTTTTTTATTTAAAAGTTTTTTTGAAGATTTCATAAATCGAAAACACTTTATTTTAGCAAAACTAAATGCAAGCAATTATCACAGACCATATAAAGACACACCTTTATTTTTATTTTATAAATATGGATTATTAATAATAATACTAATAATAATATTAATAATAATAATAGGTGAAACTTGTAACTTTAGTTTTAACTTTTTATTTTTTTTTCATCAGTTTTGATCAAACTTAAACATTTAAAAAGTCTATAGTTCTAAAACAATACACATATTTATTCACTTTTGCAAATATACGTTTTAGATGACTCCAACAGACGTCTTAAATACTTAGTAAAAATGCGAATAGGTATAGGTAAAAAAATAAACTTTAAAACACTATACTCGTAATACCCGTTTCAAGCATACAATTAACTTCTGAAATAGAAATTTTTGGGTAACGTAAAAATATTCAGCGTGAACCTAAAAAAACGCACAAAATTAATATGTTTGTTATAGGTAATTTTTCAACAAAATCCTTGAACAGACTGATTTTATTTTTGTACATACTTGTAAATGGAATATTTTGACAGAAAATAATAAATAATGAAAAGTGCTATAAAACATATCATCGTGTTTTGTCAATGAAATTTTGTTTTGTTCTTGAGTTCTTATTGTCTGTTGAAATGGTACTTACATGAAAATTTTCTCTGATAAAAATTGGTTAAAATGTAAATAGTTTATAATATATTAGTTTTTTCAAAAAAGTAATACTTTAAACAATTTTTTGTTCACTCTAGCTATAAATGTTTGATACAAAAAAATATTTTTCAAGCGTGCTGTGTAAAAATTTGATATTAAAAAAATATTTTACTTGAAATTTAAAATATAAATGAAATTATGTGACAAAAATCTATTTTTTAGCAGCGCAATACAAAATATACAGGGGTATTGTTCGAGATTTGGTTTAGTTAACAAAAAAATATAAAGCAACCAATCATACCTACTATTTGTAATTTTTATTTGGATCTTTGGTATTTTATAAATAGTTAAAACAGGATTTACAGCATACATCCACATGGAAGTATTTATATTCAGAATTACATAATCATATTTATTTGAATTTTTCAGTTAGTTTGATTGTCTTTATTCTCACGCTAGCGTATTCCGAGGCGTATTCTAAAGTTTACATTTATAATTGTCGCTGAGATTCGTAGCAAATAAATTCAGTAATAATATTTTCACGAAAAAATGATGCAAAAAGTTATGAATTTTTTATTTTTAAATAAAAAAAAACTTTTTTGTGCTTAGTTTTACTAATTTTCACTCAGTTTGTGCATAAGCTTAGAGACCATGTTTATTTACAATAATAAATTTTGTTTGTCGAGTTAATTAATTAACTCGCACGCTCAATTAAAATTTATTAGGTGATTAAAACTTTTTTTAAATAATACTTTAAAAACTATCGTATCAACATTTATATGAAATGATTTAAGTTACTTAGTTTACTACATGCACAGTTAGAAAATCACGTTATAATTGTTTTCCGCAAAGAAAACGAGAATTTACACTATTGTACCTAAAAAGCTTTCTGATTTTAGAACACAGAATTATTTGAAGAATTATCGTATTCAAACGCAATATGCAATGTTAATTGTACAAGGTTGTATACATACAATACTTTAAACCAAACAATACCAAATACTCCATTGTTATATTCTCACGAAAATGAAACCCTCAAGCTTTGTAACAAAAGCACTTCTAGTATTGACTCTTACTGTCTACTACAACTTTACAAAATAAGAAAAGAATCTAATATATCACTCGTGATATATCCACTAGGTAATTTCATAAATTCTATAGAATAATAACATAATAATTTATCCACTTCTAGGAATTTGGAACTCATTAGTGTTTAGTGAAAAATTACATTCATTTTTAGTAACAGAAAAACGTCTAAACTTTCATAAATTTCAACTGAAGCTAGGCAAACAAAATGCCACACAAGGAAGCATTATGGATAATGTCATCGAAGATAATACAAGCGATAAGCAATTGAATGAAATTTCCTCTTATTTTCAGCATTTCTTCAATTCTAAGTAATTTGAACTAACTTTGGGTTAATTAAAGATGATTATTATTTTAGTATTGATATTTTGTATTTTGAAAAGTTAGGACGCAAAGAGAATGGGAAGGAATGGACGGATCTGCTTGGAGCTGTTGTTAACGAAGAAGTAGACTTGGGTTTGGATACAATTATCAAGACTGAAGAAAGATATTACGATATGGCATTTACTCACAACATACTGACATCAATGTAAAAAGACATGAAATTTTAAGTTTAAACTAGATTATTGTTTCAGGCGCAATATCTACATAAAACATCAACCATCTAACGAACTTAGAGACATTTATTTGATACCTTTCGGAACAAAACTAATTCTCTTTGTGATGATCACCGGATTTGTTTTATGTCTTTTAATGACTCTCATAAACAAAGTAACAAATAAAATTACAAAAAATGAAAAAAACACTAAAGATAATTCATTCGGTGAAGCAACCATTTGGTGTATTGGTATTTTCACGATGCAAGGAAGTTTATGGTCACCTATAACATATTCAGGAAATATAATTTTAATAACTTCACTTGCATTTGCTTTGGTTATTTTTAATTCATATTCGGCTTTTATAACATCTATACTTTCAGTTGAGTTGTCTAGTATTCGATCAGTTGAAGATCTTCTTGAAAGTAACTACAATATTGGATACGTCAAGAATAGTCAAGATGAAGTGTACTTGAGAGTAAGGAAAATTGAGAGTTTGAAAGAATAAATTACAATTTAGGTTTTTAGTCGATGAATGATTCACAATTGCAACAAATTTATCTAAGAGGTTATTTATACAATACTGTGGGAAATGTGACTGAAGGGCTTTATAAAAGTTACAAGGGTCATTACGGATTTTTTGCTTCCACTAATATTGCTAGAAAAGAATTGCAACGGATAAATCATTACAAATGTAATTATGAAATAATGGAAATACCAATAATGAAAACAAAGAATACTATTGCATTTCCCTTGGCGAAAAATTCGCATTACAAGAAAGTTATTGATTTAAGTATTATGAAAATGTATGAAACTGGAATTTATAAATATTTTTACTCCATGGTTGTCCCATCTTACTCAAAATGTGATCAAAGAAGAATTTTTCGAAGTGCACATTTGCCCGACTTATCTTCTGCGTTTGGAATCTTAATAATTGGTGTTAAACTCTCGCTTATTATAATTATAGCTGAGTGTTTATGGAAGAGGAAAAGTGTAATATATTTGAAAATAAAGAAAAATTGTTTGAAGAAAAATTTATATCATCGTGGACAGCAGAGTGATGAAGGGGTTTTAAGTCAAAAGCTGGAGCAAATTTAAAATAATACATGATTTAATAGTCGATTATTTGACAAGTAAAGAAAAGAGGTGGTTTACTATCGAGTGAAAACAGATTGATTTATGAACGTTAGAAAGTAAGTTTTAAGTTAAGTTAAGTTTTTACGAGATAATTAACCACATTTCTTTCGAGTTGAACATGCTATTTTTTTGTATCTTTAATGGAATATTCTAACAAAAATTGTTTTTCTACAATCTTTAACATAGTTGCATATTAAAAGTAAACCCTAACTCGTAGCAACGCATATTAAATGTCATACTCATTTGTTTGTATGGCTGTATTGCTAACAAGTCAAGTGTTGCCAACTAGCAAAGAGTTGCTAAAAACTAGTAAAGTGTTGCTAAATAGTAAAATAGAACGTTTCTTTTTTGAATTCTATTTTATCAAATAGCTGCTTTTCATTAAGGATACAAAAAAAAAATTTAATTTTTTTTTCACAATCCCAAACATTTATTTTTATCACAAGACCTAAGGTGGTCATCCTTGAATGTGGACAATGGGGTCGCTGCACGTATTTTTTATTGCATATTTTGAATCTTTATTAAAAAATAATTGACACATCTTTTTGTTTTTTTTTGAAATCTTAATTTTAGTATAAAAAAAATATCAAAGACTCATAAAATGATATAAATTCAAAACGCGCGCGTTTTATTTGCTGTGATAATCCAGATTTGCGATCATTGGCTGTTTGAATGCCGGTAATGCAGATTGCAGATCTGTTTTAAGGATATATTTTGGTGTTTGTTTATTTTAATATACCAGGTGAATAAAAAGTATAGAACCAAGCGTTTTTTTCGTAAACTAAGCACTTTACGAAAAACATTATTAGTGTAGCCTAAAGTACAATTAAAATGTGACCATTTACCAAAAAAATATTTTTTGAAATTTCTTTTAGTTTTCGAGTTCTGGATTTTTTTTTTTAAATGGCAACCCACCATGGTAATATTTTTAATTAAAGATTATGATCTAAAAAGGACCTCTAATTAAATAAAATTGTTTTTTGGCTAGTACTTTTTTTTAATTAATTGTTAAAGTTGCGTTCCGAACTCATCACGAAGATTTTCCGAACCGAAGTGTTTCATGCATTTCATCATGGGAGAGCGCTGATTTCTATGCAGGTGCTTTGGGGTGGTTTCGAATGGACTAAAAATGGAAGAAAATGATTTGTTATTAGATCTTTCGATCCATCCGGAACCACCCCAAAGCACCTGCACAAGAAACCGGGCTCTCCAACGACCAAAGTCATGAAACGAACCCCTCGTTCAAGTTCGTAAAATTTGCGTAATGGGCTCGGAACGCAATTTTAACAATTTATTAAAAAAAAAGTATTGACTAAAATACAATTCTGTTTAATTAGAGGTCATTTTTAGATCATAATCTTTAATTAAAAAAATTACCATGGTGGGTTGCCATTTAAAAAAAAAATAAAATTTTCCAGAACTCGAAAACTAAAAGAAATTTCGAAAAATGTTATTCTTAATAAATGGTCACATTTTAATTGTACTTTACGCCACAGTAATTATTTTTTTCGTAAAGTACTTAGTTTACGAAAAAAACGCTTGGTTCCATACTTTTTATTCACCTGGTATGTATGTGTTCTGTGTATACACTAATAATTATGATGCAAAAAATGAGTACATTTAAACGTTGTGATTAAACATCCGCCATATTATTCCACTTGCCACTGTCAGTTGTCACTGCACTGTTGCCAGTGCTTTTGGGATTGTTACGTAGTAAATCGGGAATTTATCTTGGGTTTAAATTCTACCCTAAACTTAATAATCGAAATTATGGCATTTCAAACTTTTCCAAGTTAATTTTATTGATGGATCGCTTCTTTGTAAGGTAATCTTTAACGTATAAAAGTAAAAAAACACAAAAATTCCGATGGATGCAACGACCCTATTCTTATTTTTCCTCTCTTCTTATTTTCGCATGAAAATGAACATTTTGTGTGTTGTGATAAACATAAAAGGTTTGGTGTTTTTGGTCAGAAAACGAGTGTTGATTTATTCAACAACAAGAAGATCCTACTAGAAGTTAATCCTTTCATGTATTGCTCGTAATTATCAGTCATTTAGAATGTATTAATAGTGTTAAAATTAAATAAGTAAATGTTGAGTGTGCAGCTGTGAAATAAGTTATTGATGTCTTTGCAATAGGGTTTTTTTCTCTCAATGTTGTCGTGGAGCTTGGGAATTAAAAAATGTGATTAAAGAATTTAAATTTTATTCATAACGTTTTGGAAACGGCCGTTCCCAACTTCAGATGATATTACTTAATAATTTTTTAACCTGTGTTAGACCAGTTTTCGACCATACAGGGTGTCAATTTTAAAACTTGCAATCGCCAATATCTCTGGAACTAAAAAAAGTTATTGAGAATCACTCAAAACCGTTTCGGTAGTTTGTAGGAGGAATCAAAATGGCATGGTAAGTGACGCTCCTCCACCCACCCTTCAAGCCACATCCATCTTAAGTTGAAAATTTTAAATGGCACGTCCCTACTTGCGCATCGTTGGAAAGCCCATAACAAGCGCTTTTCAAAAATGTCATAGAACAGCCTATTTGAGAAAGTTATTTTTCCAATTATTCAAAAACGAAGACGTTAAATTTTCATTTTTTTATTATATTCAAGAGTGGGTGGAGGTGTGTCACTTATCATGTCATTTTAATTCCCCATAGGAACCACCAAAACGGTTTTGAGTGATTATTAACAACTTTTTCAGTTGAGAGAAATTGCCGATTGCAAGTTTTAAAATTGACAGAGTGTATATCAGTTTCTTAACATTTGTTGAAATTTACATATTGCAATGATTACATTTTGAATTAGTCACATGTTGAATTTTTAGGTAAATTCGTTGGTTACATTTTTAAATACTTCTAATTCCCAAGCTCCATGACAACATTGAAAGAAAAAGCTAAAAAGGGAATAAGAAACTACAATTATTTTAGGGTTCTTTTGTTTATTTTTTTAATTGAAATAGAAATTAACCAAAAAAATTATTTAAAACAATTTTACTTCAATCACATCTCTTACCAGTCTAAAATTTCATATTTTAATATGTAGTTAAAGAAATTGGTTCCATGTTCCTGGTACAGGACATACAGGGATATTTTTTATTAGTATACATAGCCCTATGTATACAGTTAAAAAACAGGGTCAATTTTATATAGTAGGCGACCAACATTTTAAGCTTTTAGAGGGTAGAGGTCAGAGAAACCAAGAAGGATCTACAAGATGCGTCAGAACTCGCGCCCCAGAGAATTTTTTTTAAGTAAGGTAAGATACCAGGAACACGGAAAAAATGTTTAAAAAATTCTATCTGTCAAAAAATTTTGACATTTATTTTTTGCCATTTGACATTTTTTTATGTCTATTTAGTGATACTGATTATCTTGTATATGTTTTTTTTACAATTATTTAGTAAAGGTACAAAAACTTTGCCAATAAAAGGCACAAATAACATTGATCACAGTTACAATTTAGGATATAGCTTCCTTGTTTCCTCTTTTAATAGCCTATAACAAAAAAACTTGGAAAATTATTTTTCCAACAGAAATAAATAGTCAAAGTGCAAAATTTAAACTCTCATAAGTTCAAAATTTTTATAGATAGAATTTTTTTAACATTTTTTCCATGTTCCTGGTATCTTACTTTACATAGCATTGTTCTCTGGGGCGCCAGTTCTGGCGCACCCTGTATAAGATCATCAGTATCATTAAATACACATAAAAAAATGTCAAATATCAAAAAATAAATGTCAAAATTTTTTGACAGATAGAATTTATAAACATTTTTTTTCATGTTCCTGGTATCTTACCTTACTTGAAAATCCATGTACAGTGATGGACAGTGAATTTTGTCCATCTAATTCCTCTGACAGATTAAAAGTGTAAATTATTCTTTAGGTTTTTCTAATTTTGTTTCAGAATTTTGATTAACGTTTGTTATAATTGACATAATGCTCGACACACCTTGCTACTCTTTACCTTTGTCGTTTGAAATGGTAGTTCTTGGTATGCCCAAAAGTATAGAGACACGAACAATTTATTGAACTTATATAAAAACACGTATTGCTGACATTATTGTTTTGGAAAATCGACATCAAAAATAAATTTCAATTAAAACTTTGAAATTTTAGTTTTAAACGTCAATTATAATGACAATAAAGCGTGGGTTACATTGCCATTTTTTGAACTGACATAAATTTGATGTCCAAAATTCCATGTCCGCCACTGGATGTTTATATTTTTAATAAACGAATCTATTCATTATTTTCTGTTTTATTTATACAAAAATTAATATCAGCTTATATTTGAAATAATCGTGGAGAATCGTATAAATTTTTTATATTTAATATATCAATCAATGAATACACAAAAGCAACTCTACAATTCCCTTTTTATCACAGAATGGTGTTACGCCACTGCTCAAGTTTCCCCACTACACCGAGTACGCATTGGCTCCGCCTATCGATATCCTTCTTGGTTTCTATGAGGTTTACTAGATATTAAAATATTCAAAACTGAAATTTTGTGACAATGCAGGTTTCAGGCTGTTCTTAGTCCTCAACTCCTCACCCTCCCACTCTATTTCCCACTTGATACCACACAAACATTTCAATACGCGCTATTAGTGTGACGTCAGCAAGGTACGTGACTGTACCTTTGAAGCTAAACAAATAAAAGTTTATTTCTTGAATCCGGGACGTGTAGGGAGATTGTTTCTAAGGAAGTAGTTGCTATGAAAAATGTGTGTCGTTTCGTAATGGTTTTAACAATTGTAGTCAACATTTCTGTAATTTAATCTGTTCTAACCTCACTTCCTGTGTACGTCAAAAATATGTTTACAGCATTGCCAGAATGTTGCAAACGACAGGAGTGGATAGGTTGTACCAAAACAAAACAAAATATATTAACATTCACATAATGTGTATTTGGCTGAGAATATAAATTATTATTTGTTCACAAGTAAATATAAATATCTAGTAAACAAAATCTAGTATCAATTTGGTACTCTAGTATCACAACTGGCAACACTGTATGTTTAGCTGCAGTACAGTCGCGTCTGTGACGTCACGTCTAATAGCCCGTATATTTTCTTCTTCGAAATTGACAATATTTTAATATCTAGTACCTACCCTCTAAAAGCTTGAAATGTTGGTAGGCTACCCTATGAAATTGACCCGTTTTTTTAACCGTTTACATAAGGCTATGTATACTAATAAAAAAATGTCCCTGTATCTTATCTTAGGTACTTAAAATTTTTCTCTGGGGCGCGAGTTCTGGCGCTGTATAGGCACAGATTAGTTGCTTGCTAGCTAATCTGTGGTTATACCACAGATTGGGTTAAATCGGTTTATTTTGATCTAGGGAATCTCAGGCTACTCTTTGTCCCCATCTTTTCGTTACACCCTGTATATCAAAGTCTGACAAAATCTGCCTTGATTCGGATAACACCCGTATGACGACCTCTGATGATTAAACCCTGTGGTTAAACCTAACCTAAGTCAATCTTGCAATGATAGCTGTCAAATGTCAACTAATAATAGAAAAGCCAAAATTTTAAAATAGTTCAAAAACCAATCAAACATGAAACATTTCCAGAAATAATTTGGTTTCTTGTGGTAGTTTGTACTTATAATTGGTGTCCAACTTTACCTAACCTCAATTTATTTTCAGAATAAAACTCCCATGGAATCGTACATCAATCTTTTCCTCAAGACAGAATTAACAATAATACCACGCCTTTTAGACAAATATATCGGAAATTATTACAATAACACATTATGTAATGGTACCACATGGATGTTTGCCTGTTGGTGCATTTTGCATGTCTTTTTTGACAATTTGCTTAATGTGAGTCTTCAGGAAAAGGCGTTCGAATTAATTAATTGTATTATTTTAGGCTTTCTTGAAACGAATCAAATACCGAGAGTACATCCGAGTCAGATTGCAACAGTCTTTGTGGTATCTTGGTTTTTATACTACAGCTTGTATTTATTGTTGCGCCACGTTAATTCGTAATAACTTAGAAATAATTAAATTGAAGACGCCTTTTGATAGTTCAAATGTAGCATCAGGACAATTGATTCTTGGGTTTATTGTTGTGCTGACATTTTACTTGCACAGTGCTTTTTGGGAGAGGCTCAAATATTGTCATGGATTTGTTGCATCGGGTTATTTATGCTTGTTCTTTTTCTTCTGCTTTTCATACTTTTTGAGGTAATTGGGTGTAACTTTTGCACTAACGTAAGTAATTGTATTTTTTTAGATTCATTGAGGGGTGTTTTAGACTAACAATTTTGATTTGTTCGGCTCAAATTGCTTTAGAGGTAACACGGGTTATTGCTATTGTTACAAAAAGAGACAATTGTAGAGGGAGAGTTTTAACGGGCATTTTTTTCACTCTAAGTCTTTCAGTTTTGTAAGTGGTTGTTATCACAAGACTAAATAATTAATGGATTTATTGTAGTGTAATTAATTATGGTATTATTGTGCCTCTATTATTTGGTTACCCTTTAGTAAGAGGATTTACTCCAGGTGTAACTTTTTTATTAACTTTTTTCTTGACGTGGTTAACAATTGAATTTTATTCTTCAGTAAGTTACAATGTCTTGCGACTTTATAAATTTGTTTAATTTGTTGAAGGCTTTAATTAAAGCTGTGATTCATTGGTTAAACCACACTGAAACAGATGACAAGAAAAAAAAATGTAATTTGGACCTTGTTGAATGCTCTTTATTCCCACCAAGAGATGATGCTACTTACAACTTTCTTTTAATGCGAAAAGAAATGAAAGAAAGAGAAGAACGGTATACAAATTGATTTGTTGTAATATAGACTTTTAAACTTGTTGGTTTTTAGGTGTTTGTCATTAAGGAAACCGAAAAATAAGAATGTGGTGTTTCAAACATTGAAATGTTGAAAATTGTGATTTGTCTGATTTGTTTTTGATGTCGAGTTGTTTTAGGTATGGTTGCTATAAAGAGAAAGTTGAATGAGAAGAGAAAAGAGGCTTCAGGTTTGAGTGAAACATTTGTAGATAAGATGCAAGATGAAAAAGAACAGGAAACTCATAATCAAAATGAACATGATGAATCTGACAGTGATAGTGATGGAGAAGTTGTTGGAGGTAAACTTGAATTTAACATCAACTGTAAAAATGAATCAGATTCTTGTAAATGCAAACAAGATTAATAAAATGTATTGGAAACACTATTGTACATTGAATAATTTTTATAAAGTCGTCGCCTTATAATAAGAGTGTTCTACAACCTAATTCGGCATAAAATACTAACTACATTTTTTATACAGTCCTACAAACAATTATTTGTATTAGCTATACAACTTATTTAACAGTGTTAAAAAGTGTGTTGCCTAGCTTGGGTTGTTAATTTAATTACTTTTTGTGTTCTTGGGTTGTTATTGAAAGTGAGGTTATGTTGAAAAAGAAGCGTTATTAGCACGCGGCGCGTTGGGTTTTATTATTGTGTTATTATTGTTATTTTTAAGTGTAAAACTTTTATTAGATAAAAATAACGACTTTTGAACTATTAGTGTAATGTGTGTTGGTAGGTGGTGGCGATGATTTCTCCAATATCGGGTTCCAGTACGTTTTCAACAATACAACCGATTTTCCGGGTAAGTGATAAATTTTTATTTACATTTAAATTTTCTAAGGTTTATTTTAGTTTTGTAAAAATTATTTGACTATTCAATTCACCTCTTTTTAAAAGAGAAGCCTTGGGTTTTCGTAACGGGTGTCGGCCTGGGTTTCAATTATTACCGCCCGTTTTAATTTAATAATACCTATTTTTTATTTGGAAAACTTTTACAATTTTAAATAATTGCCCTAAATAAGGGATGTTTGACTCTAAGCAAATAGGAAATTCAAAAATTTCTGTGAAAAACTCAGTTTGGATAAGGTGGCCAATGCGGCTCTCATTTTTAGCCGTCCACTCTGTTGTCACTTATGAAGTACCCACTCAGGGCCGCGCCGATACTCGGCAGCGCCTGTGTGCGAAGCCTATGAAGCGCCTTGTTACCGACATTATCCTAAATAGACAAAAACATAGTTTGCTTCTTGTGGGCAATTATTGAAAAACCGCAAAAAAAACATTTATTTTTTTAAGTACATAAATACAAACAACAATACGTAATATTATAATACGTATAACAATAATAATAACATATACATACAGGGTGACCCACGGGTGCGCGCATGCTCAACAACTTTTTTTCTATCGAAGTTATCGACATGATTTTTTTTTTAAAGAATAGCTACAACAATGAGGCACATTATAAAAATATTTCTATTCATATACAGGATGTTCCAAATAAGATACACAACTAAGTTCTGTTTTTTTAAATGAAAACCCCAATTTTTTATTACATTTCTGGATTCGCCACTAAATTGTCAATATAACGCATCTTGGTTTCTTACACTTACCTGCAATAGTTTTTGACTTATGCCAATTTATGTGTCAAAATTACATCGTGCATCGACCCACAAAAAAATTCATAACGTCAAAACTATTCAAGATAATTTTACCAACTTTTTTCCTGTTGATTCCTTAAGCCTTAGCGCGTCTTCTGAGATAAAGACAAACTCGGAGTCGATGTTCCATCGCGTACTACGATTTTTTGAAAATGACAAAATACAAATGGCAATAACTCGACTTTTTTAAATACAACACTCTATATTTTATTGCATCATTGCACATGGCATTTTTTATTAGCTCTTTGTCGATATAGGATTCATGGGGTCTACTTTGTAAAATTTATGAGATTTTTGCAAAATAAGTAATGTTGATGGTTTTATTCTGAAAAAAAAAATCGAGTAGGTCGTTATCGCTTGACACATCTGTGCAATTCTGAAAAAAACGTGTTTCAACAAAATGAAATTGTAATAGAAACAGGAGTACATCACAATAAAGGAAACAATCTTAGTAATCTTTACAAAAATAGGAAAGAATGATTAAAAGAAAACAATGTAAAAATTTTGAGAAAAGGTTACTTATAAAAACTGCTCAAATAGGTCATGTTCCACCAAGTTTTTTAGTAAATGAGCTCCGAACTCTAGCAGGCATTGCTCCATCAACTGAATGGAATGCTTCCGTGATCCTGTTTTTCATATCATCTGCAGTTGTTGGACGATCTCTGAAAACTCTTTCTTTCACGTACCCCCAAAGAAAAAAATCGATGGGAGTAAGGTATGGATATCGTGCGGGCCTGGGAATAGTACCTCCTCTGCCTATCGAACGATTAGGATAGGATATTTCTGACGGTACATTTTGCTTGCTAATAAAGAATTTCTGTGCTCTTCACCAATACAGTAAACCATATTCACTAATTCTTCACGAGTGAAATTCATTATTAATAATTAGATGTGTACAATTATTAAAAGTACACGAAAGTGTCAAATTTTACGACAGCAGCCTACTCGATTCCTTTTTTTTTTTTTTAGAAAAAAACCATCAACATTTCTTATTTTGCAAAAATCGTACAAATTTTACAAAGTAAACCCCATAAACCCTACATCGAGAAAAAGCTCATAAAAAATGCCATGTAATGATGCAATAAAATATAGTGTTGTATTTAAAAAAATCGAGTTATTGCTATTTGTATTTTGTCATTTTAAAAAAATCGTAGTAGGCGATGGAACATCGACTCCGAGTTTGCCTTTTTCTCAAAAGATGTGCTAAAGCTTAAGGAATCGACTGGAAAAAAATTGGTTTAGTTGTCTTGAATAGTTTTGAAGTTATGAATTTTTTGTGAGTCCTATGCACGATGCAATTTTGACACATAAATTGGCATAAGTCAAAAACTATTGCAGGTAAGTCTAAGAAACCAAGGTGCGTTATATTGACAATTTAGTGGCGAATCCAGATATCTAATAAAAAATTGTGGTTTTTATTTAAAAAAAAACGGAACTTAGTTTTGTATCTTATTTGGGACAGCCTGTATATGAATAGAAATATTTTTATAATGAGCCTCATTGTTGGATCAATCGTTAAAAAAAAATCATGTCGATAACTTGGATAGAAAAAAAGTTATAGAGCGTGCACGAACTCCTGGTCACCCTGTATGTTGGTAAGTTATAGTTAGGAACAAAAAATAAGAAAATTAAGAAATCAAAGAATTGAAAACAATTAAAATCAGATTACCTCGACTCTTCTCGCTTTTCTGTTTGCAAAATCTTTGATAATTTCGTGTATATCTATCTATATGCCAAGGCCATCTGAATCAAAAAGCTACGCTTATAAGGCCGTTTCATTCTCCATGATAACTGTTTCTGCAGAATGGCCATAAAAACAAAAAAATTCAGAACCTTATTGTGCGCCCTCGGTGGTCGATTAACGAATCAAAGCTACAATATTAAATTAACAGCAGTTCAATTTTACAAAATAATAGTATAAAATGGTAAAAACCGTGTTTCATTTGTGTGGCAAAAAATGTTCGCTTATTTGAAATTGCGAGCAATATGCAACAAAGGCAATAATGGTGCCAAACTTTTGAAATGTTTTGCGGTAAGCAAATTTATGCAGACAATTATAGTCGTCACCAGGAATATTTGGGATTGACGTATGCAAAGCTTTATTGAGGGTTAAGCAGCTTTGTGGTCGACCGTAATAATTTTTCACTGCTGGTGGTACTACCCAAAAGAGCCGTATTCAGGAATTTTCGTGGTAGGCTTTTAATTTGTTACAGGCAAACATTTGGGAATTTATATATTAATTTAATATTAAAGTGGTAATGTAGATTTGTAAAGAAACAATCTCAAAATATAGCTGAATAT